GAAATGCTGCAAGATTCTGCAAGCAATCTGTCCATCTCAGTGATCCTGCTGCACAAAGAATTGCAGGAGACCACAGCAGAGTCAAACCAAACCACAAAGCCCAACATACACATTTGCTATTTATTTGGGGGGGGGGGGGATGGCCAAATCCTGTATTTTGTGTCTACTGCGTGTTTTTTGTCCTCTCCTGGTCCTCACAACAGAGTTTTTGGGACAAATGGCAGGCAGGGAAAGCCAAGGAAGGATCAGCTGGGCCAACTCCTTCCACAGACTCTTCTTCTGGATCCGACCCAAAGTCTGGTAGAGTTCCAGGATAATACCAAGTCATGAAAGCAGGTCAGTAAGAATGGCAGAGAAGTCTCTTCAAGGTCAAATTCCAGCATTTTGTAAGAGGCTGGCTTCCCCTCTTTCAAACAGTATTGATAGTTCAGAGGAAGACCATCGCACACAAATGCAGCATGCCCAACAGACTACGGAGTCTCCAGGACTGCATGCGAGTGAAATGCAAATTGTCAGGTTTTCATTACTCAAGGAACGCAATCAGCTTCGGCTCACCAATCTACATCATATTTCCCCACTGCCGGACATACAGCAGCCGTGTTCCAACAATGGGCAGTGTCTTCTAAATCTTTGGGCAGTAGCAACGTTTGGCTTTTCTTTAAAATATTTAGATACAAGGGGTGGAGAGAAATCAAATCATCCCTGATTAAAATAGCAAGCCATATTTCCTTTGACTCTAATTATGCTACAATTTATCATCAAAATGGAGCACAAATGTCTGGCTGGGATTATTTAAATTAGCGGAAGGCAGCTGAGGTGTCCAGCTCGCTACTGACCATATCGACGGAACCCCCCCCCCCCCCCCCCGTTTTAACCCCAAGTTTTAAGTCAGTACCAAGATTTAGGCATCCATGTGAAAGACTCAGTTGTGTCAGGCAACTATCTTTCTAGAAAAGCACCAGTGAAGCCCCGTGCCATCCAGGAGATGGGCATTGTTGTTTCTACTTTACCACGTTTCAGAGTCATTGCTTCTTCTGAGCTAACCATGGTTTATACCTCACCAGTCTCACTACTTGCAAGATTAGAACTGGGTCTCAAATATGCCTTCCTGTACAAACTGTCCAGGGGCAGGGTGTATTTATTTTAAGTATTTCTGTCCTGCCTTATCTCCTTGGACTCAAGGTCGGCAACCACTGCTGCAACCGAGTTGCAAGGCAGAGGTTAACAAATTTAAAACACTAAAACACCAGTTTAAAATATTTAGCACACACTGGTTAAACCACACTGGACCATCACACTCACAGCCAGATCTCTGCAAGACTAACTATAGTCTCTCTAGATATTCAGGATGTTAACTTGGGTTAAGGTTAGGTAACAAGCCAGTTCACGGAGGTGGGGTGGATTAGGAGAGCATGTGGTGCACCAGGAAACTGTGGCCACAGTTTTGGAAGGGGAAGGAATGTTAAGAGTAACATTAAAACTATATGGTGACCATCAAAGGCAAAGTATTTTCCCTTAACATCATTCAGCAGTTCTTACTCATGGGTTCAGTTTTCTGAAAAAGCCACAAAAAGAGTGAGTACAATGAAAACTATATCAGCAAGACTGCAAACCGGTTACAAAAGCCTTCAACAATCATCTTGCAGCTAATCTCCCACTGAAGACGTTCCAGAGAGGAACAGGGAAAAAGGAAGGCAAGCTCTCACTGCCAGCAGGAACTAGACGGGGCTCAGCTGCAAAGATTTAGAGAGTCTCCCGCATGCAAAGAGCCATTAGCAGCAGGCTTCACTGGCCAACACCATACCCCAGAGAAGCAGATTTTTGACCATGAAGCAATTTTGGATTTGAGCTCAGGGAGCATTCAATCAGTGACCACAAGTTTCACTGGCTACCAAAAAACGACATCATGCACCTCAAATATTCTAGAGATAATTTTTAAAAACCTGAATTAAAAAAACACACACAATTGAGAAAAAGAAGAATATATTAGATTTAATCCCTGCCCCTCGCTATCTAAGGGAGTTTCAGAGCGGCTTACAATCCCTTTCCCTCCCCCTTCCCCTCTCCATAACAGACACTCTGTGAGGTAGGTGGGGCTGAGAGAGCTCTCTCAAGAACTGCCCTTGAGAGAACAGCTCTGAAAGAACTTGCAACTGACCCAAGGTCATACCAGCAGCTGCATGTGGAAAAGTGGGGAATCAAACCCGGTTCTCTACTATTAAGAGTCCGTGCTCTTAACCACTACACCAAACTGAGCTTTTTGCTGTCATCTTTTTTTTTTTTAAGTAGTAAAGCAAATGTCTATTGTGAGCCCTGAGTTGTGCTATCAGTTGGTAACAAACCTCCTGAATCCTCAACATGGCGGACAAAACCACCAGACATTAATCCCAGATCCCCACCCTGAGAATCCCAGGCACTCCTGCCACTTCTTGTGAAAGGAACTGGAAGGCTTTTACCTCAACAAAGACGACAACAACAAAGGAAGAGGGGAACACTAACAAATGAAGGCTAGTCAGAATCTCTAGCTGTTGCCACAGAATCAGCCAGAAGCAGATTAGTTGTTCAGAGACCCAACGTCTAGTAAACCTTCTACAGTGACAATGAAAGTTAAGACGATCTCCAGTGAAAGATAAATTCTTATCTACTGTGGAGAGCAGCAATGGCATGCCATCAGGGTTGCCAGGTGAGGCCGACAAGCCGGCAGGGGGACTTACCAGGAGGCTCTGGGAGAGAGGAGGGAAGAAGCACGATTGAACTCCAAAGCGAGTTCCAGGTGAGCTGGCCGTCACATTTAAAGGGGCCACATTCCTTTTTAATTGCCTTTTCTCCACTGGGACGGAGGCACCTTCTTTCGGGGGCTCAAAGAATTGGACTCCCTGGTCCAATCTTTTTGAAACTCGGGGGGGGGGGGGGTTGAGGAGAGGCACCAACAGCTATGCTGAAAATTTGGTGCCTCTGCCTCAAAAAACACCCCCCCCAGAGCCCCAGATACCCACTGATCAATTCTCCATTATATCCTATGGGGACCAGTCTCCATAGGGTATAATGGAGTGCCCAGCGGCCATTCCCCCCCCCCCACTTTCTGATAGCCCTGAAGTGAGGCAAGGGGCTCCAAACCGGGGGATAACCCACCCCCAACTGGGGATTGGCAACCCTACATATCATTGGCATGTCATTATTGGGATAGATCCTACCCCTTTCCTACCACTCAACTGAGCAAAGTGCATTTATTTCTTTATTAAAAATACTTACACCCCACCTTTTCTTGGCTCAAGTTTGACGCCCTCCGCCAATCTCAGTTGGAGGAAGGCTTCTTAGGCTTATTGCTTTTTGTAACACCTGGCCTGATGAAGCGTTCTAGGGAACTCAAAAGCCTTGCGCACTGTTTTCTGTTAATTTGTTTGGCTTTAATGAGAGGTATAATGCGGCTTTTGGCTGGAAATTTTGCTAAGGACAAACACGGCTGCCTAAATATGTTACTGAACTGTTGGGTTTTAAAACATTTAGAGTGTTCAAAAAAACTCTCTCTCTGTGCGTGTGTGTGTGTAGCCTGATCTTCTCAGATCCCAGAAACTCAGCAGGGTCAGGCCTGGTTAGTAGTTGGATGGGAGACCACCAAGGAAATCCAGGGTTGCTGTGCAGAGGCAGGCGAGGGGAAACCACCTCTGAACGTCTCTTGCCTTGAGAACCCGATGGAGTTGCCGTGACTGTGACTTGACGGCACGTTCCACCACTTTGTGTATGTGTTAGTTCACTCAATACAAGTCACACATGCAAGATCAGATAATTGCAGTAGAATATGGGCACTGAAAATGTTTTCTATTCAAAGACTATGATGCAGAGGTGTCAAACTCATTTGTCACGAGGGCCGGATCTGACATAAATGTCACTTTGTAGGCCGGGCAATGTATGCCATAAAACACAATGCCAGGTACCGGAGACAGAAACTATATAAGGGACAGCAGCTGGTAAGCTCCGAGTTTGGTGTATCCTCACTGCAAAGCCCCATGGGCTGGGAGGGGGGTGCAAAGGAAAACCCACACAGGCATACTGGAGAGGCAGCAGTGCAGTGCTGGGCAGATGCTCCCATGATGCTTGACTGCTGCAGACGAGGTTGTTCTGCCATGCTGAAGTCACAAGGGAGTGGCTCCACCCACTCCCCACCCAGCCCTCCCTCCCTTGCATCAGTTACTTGTGGGTTTCATAAGAGCCCTGGACAGGCTGCATCCGGCCCCCCCTATGTTTGACACCCCTGCTATGAGGCTATCATGGGCTACGAGTCACAATGGCTACTAGTCATGATAGATATCTCTTCCCTCCCGCAGCAGAGGTGGTATGTCTCTTTAAATCAGTTGGTGAGGAGCACTGGCAGGAAGTTGCTGTTGCGTTTATTCTGTTTGTGTGCCCCCCTAGAGGCAGCTGATTGGGCCACTGTGTAAACACAAAGTCTTCTGGGAAGCCAACATCACGGTTTGCAACCATCATGTATAACTGCTGCTCAGAGAACTATATAGAGAGACTGAAGACATCTCTCCCTTCCTCTGTGAAGATGCCCCAAATCTTAAAGAGAAAAAGAGTTCAAAAAGATCAAAAATTGCTCTTGCAATCTGCCAGCAAGTCACAATCTGGCCATGCCGATAATAGGGTTCCCAAGTACTTACCGCAATCCGGCGGGGGACACATGCTCCCTGGCCGGAACATTCCTCCCTGTAACTCACCATGCCATCGCCACGAAGTGATGCTGGGCGATGCACTGGCAATGGGGCTGAAAACTCGATGATACCATCGAGTTTCCAGCCCCATTGTCAGAGCGTTGCCCGGAGTCACTTCCTGGTGACGGCATGGTGCGGCACGTCTGTTGTCCCCGCAGGAATGACGTCTGTGTCCCCCGCCGAATCACGGTAAGTACTTGGGAATCCTGGCTGATAAACATAAAGTTATTTTCACAGAACACACAAAAATTCCCCAGAAGACATAGGAAGCCCTAAAATCTTACTTACTAGGAAGTCTTCTTCACAGTAGACTTTTCCATTGACATTGTAGAAGGCTTTCCCTCGTAATCTTCTCCCTGTCAAAAATATTGTACCATCTATTAACACTTCACGTTGCAGTAATAATGAAAAAAGCTTTCAACGATGTAGTGGGCAATATACTCTACAGAAGTCACACATCCTATTTTTTAATCTTCTGTTGGAAGTCCCTCCCCCCAGCTTTCAGGCTACTGCCGCATCTCCAATGAGGACCAGTAAACCATTTTTGTGGGCAAAAACTAATCTGGGTGTGATACAGGCAAAGGGAGTTGTGCAGGTGTGGGGGACCCCGTTCAACGCTCCAAATCCCTCCCAAGAAGTTCTTACATCCACATTCCAAAGACAACAGGGCACACCTCTAGGTTGCCAGGTTCCCCCTGGCCACCGTCAGGGGGCGGGTTGCCAGCTCCAGGATGAGAAACTCCTGGGGGGCTTTGGGTGAAGCCTAGGGACAACAGGGACCTCACTGGGGTACAATGCCATAGTGTTCACCCTCAAAAAAATCTGTTTTCTCCAGAGATACTGATCTCTCTAGTCTGGAAGCGAGCTGTAATTCTGGGAGATCCACAGGGCCCACCTGGAGGTTGGCATCATTTCCCCTGATTCATCTCTCCCTCCCCTCTAAAACTGCCAGCCATAGTTGCCACCTTTCCAGTGTTCCTTCTAAGCTGAGTTAGTGTGAGCTAGCTCACAGTTTCTTAGCCTCCAGCTCACACATTTTTGTCTTCGCTCAGGAAGGATGGCTCCAGAAAAAACTAATTTATGCAGTAGCCAAAGCACTCGCTCACAACTTTCATGCCAGTAGCTCACAAAGTAGGATTTTTGCTCACAAAACTCCACAACTTAGAGGGAGCATTGGCACCTTCCACTTTGGGAACTATCAGACCATGATGGTCCCAGAATGTCAAAGAGCTATTCAAGGCAAGAGAGCTGGGGAAAGAGGAGAGACTGTCTTCCCCCTGGATGACACAGAAGCCCTGATTTTTGACTCAGAAGGCAACTCTTCACTCCTTGGCCACTGGTCACAGATGCCCCTGGAATCCAGGCCCTAAAGACTGGGGTTTTTTTTGTTTTGTTTTTTAATTTTAATATAAAAACTGCGATACAAAATGGCGACTCTCTGACCACCGTTATACAATGAACTCTGGTTTCTCTTCAGATCGCATAAATCTTTCGCCTTTTACTAAAGACTGTTTGTTATGTATTGTGTTATATTCTGGATAGCCAGAATTGTTGAATGAGCCTGAGCTTCAGTCTCAAGCTCCATACTCTCAGTATCCTGAAATCAACAGTCTGATTGCCTGCCATTGTGCAATGGACCAATCAGGGAAGACTATGACTTTCAGCGGGAACCCTATTGGTCCTAAGCACTCACTTATGATTGGACCTTACTGTTCTAGGGGTGTGGTTTAGCCAGTTCCAAACTGTATGTAAGTTGTGGTTGTTCGGTGTGTTCTGTGCTGTTGTTGTGTTCTGTTCCAATAAACTGAAATCACTAATTGAAGAAAGAGCTGCCTGCTCTTGAGTTACAACACTGATTTCTTGTGGGGGGAAGAGACAGACCGCTGACTTAGGCATCCCTCTGGCTTACTTAAAAACGGTTTCTTTTCCCAGGCTTTGCTGTGCCCCAAAGCTCACATGCGGCTTTTGCTCTAACTCATTTAGAATCTACACCCAAGAGACAACTGGCATCAGGCAAGACCTAACCTGCAGGTGAAAAGAGTGACTCTGCTTCTTATGACGCAGACAAGATCACCCACTTGCACACTGCATGTGTAATTTAAAACACACACACACACACACACCACTCCTTGGTTTTGTATTCACAAGCAAGGGATTATTCAGACAGCCATCGGGAACACAGGCTTGGACCCTACATTCCTGTTTGTCACCCTAACGGCAGTTCTGACAACTGAACAGGATTTCCACTGGCTGAAGTAGGCAGGGCAATTTCTGCCAATTCCCCTCTCCCACCACAGACCCTGACTCTGAACCCAAACAAACTGCTCCTGGGGATTCACTGACCCACAGGAGTGTCATTTCAGGGGGCACAGAAGGCTTCAGGGAGGGGTGGGGAAGTTGGCTTCCTCTAGCTGCTCAGGATCCTAGCCAAAGGCTTCAGCAGCAACAGCAACGCAATCGACTATGAGAGCACCTCAGCCTGGCCCGCTTCGGCATCATCTCCCCCACTGCTGAAAGACAGCCCGAAACTTGAGGTGGGGGCCCTCTTTTCAAATTTCTAATTCTTGGGGCACCCTTTTTACATTAATTTGTTTGCCAAGGAGACCTGTGCAGGTCTGATCAAGAGAGAGGCCTGAAGTTACATATCACAACAAGCAGGTCTGGCCACGAGGCTGCCTTGGAACCACATTTCTTTATTTAATTCATTTACAACAAGTATTCCCCACTTTTCTACCCTCGTCATGGCCGCCAGGGCAGCTCACGGATTAAAGAACGTACCTAATAAAGACATGTCTTAAAAACCAAGCAAGAACACACCATTAAAACAATTACAACCATGCTAAAATACACACTTTTGTTAATGTGCCGCCAAGCTGCTTCCAACTCATGGCAATCTTATGAATTAATTACCTCCAAAATGTCCTATCCATAGCAGCCTTGCTCAGGTCTTGCAAACTGGAGGTCACGGCTTCCTTTATTGGGTCGAAATGCATGCACAGAAACATAAAAACAACAATAGGGCCGGCAGGAAAGAGTCCCAGAGTTTCGGTGCTGCAACTGAGAAGGTGCCCTCCTGGGTTGCCACTCGCCTATTTTACATACAAAATACTCCAAGTTCTTTAGAGGAATAAAAGGGTAGGCGGGGGGGTGGGTGGGGGAACTGGACCTATTTCCTGCAACACCAAAGTATGAATTTTCTGCTCTGGCCTATACGGCAGGGCACTCATTCGTGTCTTTATTGATATCTTTACTTCATTTATGCCCCACCTTTCCCAAAGCAAGTTAGATTATTCTTGTCTCCATTGTATCCTCTCAACAACCCCTCAAGGTTAGATGAGGCTCAGAAAGGGAGACCGGGCTAACACCACCCAGCAGGCTTCCACGCCAGAGCGGGGACTTGAACTTGGGTCTTCCAGATCCAAGTCCGACACTCTTAACCGCTACCCCATGCACTGGCTCCTTTGCCAAGCAGTGGTGATAAAGAAGGGGTGGGGAGGGTCAGTGGCATCGGCAGCTTGCCCCAGTCCTAACACAGATAGGAAAATGTTTTACAAAACTCTGTGCTGCATAAATCATCAAGGAGCATCATATGTAAGCAGATGTCAAAGGGGAAAGAACAGTTTGTTCTATTCATTAAGGACAGAACCAAGGAGAGGGGAAGGGGCTTAAACTAGAGTGGCGGTCACTCGCGCGAGATAATGCGGGGGGGAAGCGAGGCTATTTCCTCTGGAGGAATTTGACCCACAGTTGCGTGATCACACAGTCCCTTGAAGCTGCGGGGGCAGCCCGTCACTGCATGATCAGACGCAACCGTGGGTGAGTTGGGTCTGTGGTTTTTTGCCGTTTGTTCCTGATGCGCTTAAACGGGGAATTGATGAATCGTATCTCAGCGCTGAGGGCTACCTATGGAATGTGCGATGATGCGCATACTGAGAAGGGGGGGGGAAACAACGGCACGGAGTCGGGATGGCCTGATCAGACCATCCCGATGCCATGAGAATGCGCTGGAGCGATCAGACAGGGGAAAGTCCGTCTGTGGCCCGTAGCAACCCGTTTGCTACCGGACTTTCCCTGGTGTCTTTTTACTCCACTTCTGCAACGGAGCAAAACAGGTTGCCGATGGGTGCGGGGTGCTTCCCAGATGTTCGTGTCTGATCGCGCCCTTTAAATCTGCCCGGCATTCGCGCCTATGGCGCAGCTAATTGTGCGTGTGATCGCACCCTAGGTAATTCCCAGTAAACTTGAGGAAAGTCTTCTTAGACACAAACAGCAGTATATCAGCAGCCCCATCTTCTCAGACAGCCTGTGCGATCACTCTCCCTAGAAGAAGAGTAGGTTTTTATATCCTGCAGTATACCCTACAGTCATATTCCCTTCCTTTCCCCTTAACAGGCACCTTATGAAGTAAGTGGGGCTGAGAGAGTTCTGAGAGAACTGCAACTGGCCCAAGGCCACCAAGCAGGCTTCATGTGGAGAATCAAACCTGGTTCTCCAGATCAGAGTCTACGGCTCTTTAACCGCTACACTACACTGGCTAGAGAGACAAGACTGCCATTTCTCAGGTACACTGAAGATATAAAGATATCCAGGGATAAATCAGGTGAGTCTCTTGAGTCCATCCGTTCTCTGATGTCAAGGGTCTACCAAAAGAAAAAGAAAAACCACACTGCTCTCACACTCAGGGAGGGGGTGAGTAGAACGTTTTCCCGTGAATAGGAAGCTACCACCCCTTGACCCAGAAAATAATGAAGCCAAGCACGGGGAAATTGAGGGACTCTGTGCGCTGGTCCCAAACAATCTTTTGGCCTGTGAATAAAGACCACACTCCCCAGAACACAGGCAGATCTCCAATAAACAAGACGGAACAAGCATTGCATCCAGCACAGTGCAGCTTTCAAAATTTCTGAACCAAAGCCAAAGACACATAACCCCGTTCATTGTACATCAGTTTGTTAGAGGTCTGCCTTTAAAAAAAAAATTATATTTTTTGATGACACAGGTGGGGTTGATGCTACCTACGTGACTGAAACTAAAGGGGGTGGATGGCAATGATTAAAGGATCTGGAAGCATTCGGGGCCAAGGCTGTAAAGTGAACCTAAGAAGTATGCCTCCCAGAAAAGACAGCAGCTCAGGCTGAATTCAAAGTTCTCACTCTTCAATTTTATACTGCAAGTTTCAAGACCACACGGTTTCACTGAGAAATCCGAAAATGTATCCAGTGGATTTTGCAAAAAAGAAAAAAAAAAAGCAGGGAAGGACTAGATGGGGAGTCTTGCAGTCCGAGGTGAAAGAATTTCCCTTAGCACAACTATACTCTCTCCCCACCCATTCCCAGCATGTGACAGTCTTCCCATG